ATAGAAGCCAGTAATGTGTAAAAAGAGATCAAGCCATGATGACCATGTTGGGGTTACTCAGGCATGCAAGGGCTGTGTGTCAGAAAATCTAGTAGCATGATTCACATTAGCAGCTCAAAGGAGAAAAGCCACAGGCTCGCAGCTGATGCGGGAACTGCATCCAAGAGACCTCAACATCCATTCAAGGCCAGCAGAGTGCAGGAGGCGAGGCCTCACCCTAACGCCAGGGCTCAGGAAGGACCCAGAAGGGCCCTAGTCTGACGCCGGAATTTGTATGTTGCTGCTCAGTGAAACCACTGAGACTGTGGCCAGGTTCTGAAAGGAACCCTGGCCCAGCCGACCCCACTCTAACCGCATGGCTCCTCAAAGGGAAGCTTTTTATTCTGGCTGGTGTCAATCAGAGCGGAGTGGTGACTAGAATCGGCCAGGGGCCAAGGGACCCCATCCGCAGGAGCCCTCCCAAGCCCCATGCTACAGATCAGGTAGCTGCCCTGTGGTGAGAGAATGTATTTGTGTTGTGAAGCTACTAAAATTGTGTTAATTTGTTACATACAAATAAAAGCACAGAATAAAAAATGTATTAAACTCAACAGCAATATTGCATTCCCTTTAAAATCCAACATGCAACAGACACTCTGTGGTCACCTGAAGTAGCCTTTAGTAGAGGTCAGAGCCAAGATGAAGTGGCAAGAAAAAGAAATTGAACAATTCAGAATTGGAAATAGAGAAATAAATTTGATTCTGTCTGATATATGTCAACACAAAAAAACAAAGTAATTCGCAGCTATATTAATAAGAGTTAACTCTTATTAATTAACTCTTATAAGAATAGAGTTTTAAAAGGCAGAAAATGGGGCCTTCCTGGTGACCCATTGGGAAACTATCTGCAGCCACCGCGGCATGAGTTTGCTCCCGACCAGGGCGCAGCAGACCCCTCCTGTCTCCCCACTGCTCCCCTCAGCAGTGGAGTTCAGTGGATCCGCCTGTTCTGCTCCCCGCTCGTCTCTGGTGGATCCTCTCACCTCCTGTACTTTTGGCGTGCACCCCAGTTCTTGTATGCATAAATAAATCTTTAAAAAAATAGTTAAAAGAAGGGTTGAAAATATGATCACTATATATAAAATCTGCATTTTTACATACCCAAACAGAAGGCAAATTGGAAAAAGGTGCTTAGAGAATCAGAAGAGAGAAGCTAGGACGGGAGGGAGGGAGGGTTAACTAGAAACCTAAGAAACGACGTGCAGGTTCTTGGTGGAGAAGCTTACAGAGCTGTATGGAGGGGCAAAGAGGGTGGGTACGGGCACGCATGGGAGCAACCCAGCCTTCTCTGAAGGCCCGTTCCCCACCTAACCCGTGAATTCCAGGCAACACCAGTAAAACCGGAGCCCGGCAACAGAGAGGTCTGTGGAGACTCGATTCGGGCAGACCTAGGGCTGCGGATGAGCTGGGTGGTGCTGGGTGGTGCTAGCCACGCGGGCCGGGGCTCACCCCCGCACCCGGTTCCAGGCCCATGGAGACGGAGCGCCCGGTGGGCACCGCAGAACTTCCCCAGACGGGAGAGAAAGGCGGCAGGTCCTGCTCTGGCAGCCAGGAACTCTGCCCGTCCGTCCATCCGTCTGTCACGGCCACCACAGAGCGGGTCAGGCCGCAAGCCGGAGACGCCGCCCTGCCCGGCAGCGGGCGGCTGAGTGCGGACGTGCGACTTCCCCGCAAGTCAAAAAGGAAAAGGCCGCAACAGGAAAAGGCCCTCGGCGCAGGCAGGCGGAGGCCTCGCCCGGGGCGCCCCGGCAGGCCAACTGGGGCGACCGCAGCCTGCTGGGGAAGGGCCTTGTTCCCCCATCCCCGGCCCCCCACCAGCCTGCCGTAACTTCTGGGGGGGGTGCGTTAGCCTTCCCCAGACGGGCCCCTCACCAGCCGCGGCACCTCGTCCGCCAGGCCCAGGCCGGCCCCGCGCCCCTCAGCCCGGCCTGCGAGGCTGACCCGCGGCTCCCGCAGGGTGTGGGCCACTTGTCTCAAACCCGGGTTGGGGTGCTCTGAGAACTGGAGAACTCTGAGAACAAGGCGCCCCCGGGCTGACCCCATTTATAGGTCTCACCATAGTTAAGAGGACGTCAGAAGGGGTCCGCGGTGCTACCAGAGCCCAGAAACAGAAAAGGGCCGAGACACCACACACCCGCGCCGCCCCTTCCAGACGGGGTTGGCCGGTGGCAAATCTGACGCGGGTTCAGCTGTGAGCTCACTCTGCAGGGGCAGGGCCACCGGTGGAGGCCAGGGGGCTGCTGTCCCGCGGCGGGTGCAGCTGGTGGCCGGCCGAGGAGTCACCTGCCCCTAACCTGTGAGGGTGGTGCCAACCAGTGCTACCTGCAAACAGACAAAGGTGAGCAAAGAGCTTGATCTGCACACTGGAACACTAAGACCCGACTTCTCCATTTACTCCAAAACAATCTGAAATAGTTTAAAATAATTTTGAAAGCAGAATGGGGCCTCCCTAGTGGCGAAGGGGCAAATCCCAGCACCAGCAAGCCAGCGCCAGCCACTGAGGCCTGAGCTTGATCCCCCCAGGGAGGGACCCACAGTGCAGCAGCCCCCTCCTTTCTCCCTGCTGCTCCCCTCAGCGGTGGGCTTCAGTGGATCTGCCTGTTCTGCTCCCCACTCTGTCTCTGGGGAGTCCTCTCACCCCACACCTCTGCCTGCACCCCAGCTCGTGCATATATACATCTTTAAAAATAAGAGTGTGCCCACCTGCGTACGCGCCCACGATGTGGACCTGGGTGATTGTACATTCCCGGCAACGGCCTCCCAGGGGCCCCAACATGGGGCTTCGGGGGGCAGCGGGGAGGATGTGGGAGAGGGAAGGCACACATCCTCACGTATTACCAAGTGTGCTCCAACAAGCAGGCACCGACACAGCCGAGTTAAATTTCTAAAAGGCGGCAAGGCAACCCAGCCGGCGCCAGGCGCGCTGACCAGACGCGGGAGGTCCTGCGCTGCACCACCTGGCCGCTCCAGGGCCAAGCTCAGGCCACGAATCCGGGCGCGAGGGTGCCGTTGGCGTAGCTCAAGTCACCTGGACTGGGGCTGCCCGGCCCCAGGGCGGGGCACTCAGCAACGCGCAGGGAACGTGGCATTTGGGAACGACCACAAAAAGGTGCTGTGTTTGGAGGTCACCCTCCCTGGGGCCCAAGTCCACACTCCCCCGGCCCCCGGGGCTCAAGGCAGGCGTCGGGACTCCCGAGCCGGGAGGCCCAGCAGGATGGAGGGCCGGGCTGGCAGCCACGGCCCGACTGTCCCCTCCCTCTGAAGCGCCGCTGTCCGCGCTGCGAGGCCGCCCTTCCCCGGCTTCCCAGAACCCAGCGGCGGCCGGGTCTGCTGTCTGCGCGCCCAGCGCTGGGCTCCGCCACTACTCACCACTTTGCTTTCTTTTCTTCTGTTTTTTAAGACCATGAACTTTTTATTCCAGTATTATTCTTACGCCCAGTAAACACCTCCGAAAGCGGCTGACTTCTACAAACGCTTTAAGAGGGGGCGGCGCACTCGCCGATCGGGAAGGTGAACGCAGGCAGCTGAGCGGGCGGCGTGGGGGGGCGTGAAGGGCGTGGGGGGCGGGAGCGCCTCATCTCACAACTGGCTGCAGCTGGGCTGGGCTGTGGGCGGCCTGGGCGTGTGGGCGGTGCCTGCAGGCTGCAGCCGCAGGCGGTGGCCTCGCGGAGGAGATGAGATGGCAAACGAAGACGCTGGAGAGGTGACAGTGGCGATGAGCCGCCCCACGCTGGGGCCGGGGGCCGGTCACGGAGCCTCCAGGCAGGAGCTGGGCCAAGGGCAGCCCCAGAAGACCCCCATGCCGCGAGCCAACAGCGTGTTTCCAGCCCCCCAAAACAAGACTCCCCACGGCTCCACCATGGGCAGCTCCCGGGCACCTGGGTGCCCACGCCAGGCCTCTCCACACAGACGACGCCCTTCCAGGTCCCCGGTTCTGATTGCCTCCCCTCACCCGAGGTTTGCTTAGCTTAAAAGCCCAGGAAGACAGGGCAGAGGTGTCACCTGCCGGCGATACACCTGTCGCCAGGAAAGACAAGTCCACATGAAGGGGGTGCCTGAGCCCCCACCTCCTGGCCAGCACCCTGGGGCTCTGGGAGGCCCGTGTCTTAGAAAACCTTTCACCGGCTCCCACCTGCAGGGCCCTCTCAAGTTCAGGGAACTTTCAAGTCAGGGCTGCTGCTAACAGGCCCAATGGGGCTCCCTGAGCTCCCTTTCCAGACCACCCCAGCCAGCCTCGCCCCAACACTGCCTCCTCACCCTGCCACCCTTCCTGCCACACGGGCGCTGCCATTTTCCTCCCCTCCGCCACACCAGCTCAGGCACCTTCTCTCAGGACCGCACTCGGCACAAGGCAGGCCAGGCAGCTGGCCGAACCCACTACTCGGCGCCCCGCGGGCCTCGGCCGGCAGAAGCCAGCGCTCCCCGGCCACTCCGGCCCCGCCCTCTGCACCCAGCCCCACTGTGAGGTCCCACCGCAACGCAACGTCTGCTGGTCTGCTGGCCGTCTGCCCAGGGTCAGCCACTGGCGGCCCCAGGTGAGCGCTCACCCTCCCGTTCCCCAGCAGTGGCTTTGTGGGCACACAGCAGAGGGAGGCTGCTGGCCCTGGAGGGGCGAGGCGCTCTGAACGCGGGTCATCCTCAAGGAGCTGCTGGCCCTGGAGGGGCGAGGCGCTCTGGACGCGGGTCATCCTCAAGGAGCCGGCGTGGCTGCCGGCAGTGCCAGGCCTCTCCTGAATACCTGCGCCCACAGGACACAGGCGGCGTGACGGGCCCCAGGATGAGTCTCATCAGCTGAGGGTCCCCCCGGGTCCCATGGTCACAGGTACCCGAGAGGCCTGGCTGCCCAGCCATGCACCCCACTGCCCGGTCGCCTGGGGGGACAGGGGCTCGGCCTGCATGCAAGCTGATGGCAAGTGAGCCCCGCCCGCAGTGAGGAGCTGGTTTACAAATGCACCACTACAGCCGGCTTCACGGTGTCTTTAATAGCACACTAAAGAGACGGTAAGGGGCGCAGGCAATTCCCCACCCTCCCGCTCTGCTCAAGCAGCTACGTCGCCCACTCACTCGGCCGCCAGGGACGCCGATGAAGGACAAGTGGCGGTCACCGAGGGCAGGCTCAGTGGGGACCCGCGTGGGCGCAGGCAGCTCTGGGGAAAGGGAGGACGCCCTGCCCCCGCCACCCCCACCAGGTGAGGGGCCCGACAGCCTCTCTGGACCGCCTCTGCGCTAATCCCTGAGGACGAGCGGCGCCTTGACCTGCTCGGCCACCTCCTTGCCGCTCAGCGCCTCGACGATGGCCAGCGCGAACTCGAAGCTGGTCCCGGGCCCCCGGCTGGTGAGGATCTGGCCGTCCTTCTCCACGCGGTTCTCCGAGTAGCTGTAATGACCTTCGAGGACAGACAAAAGGTGACGCTTGCTGGGCCGCCCAGTCTGTGGGGCACAGCCACCCGCCTCAGGGCACCACCAGCACTTCCGAACCACGCACAGGGCCCGGCTCAGGACAGCACAGGGAGGGAGCGCTGAAGACGCTGCCGCCGGGCGAGGGGGAGGCGGCGGCCACGGAACCTGCTGGCGCCCCACCACGGAGCACAAGGCCAGAACTGGCACGGGGCCGCCCACGCCCGAGCTGCCCAGACACCGGCCCTGAAGGGACTCGCGTCGCCCACCGGGGGCTGCTGCGCGGGGAGAGGGGCCCCGAAGTGGTCGCTGCCGCTGCACCCAGACACCATGTCCCCCCAGGCCCCCAGCCCCCCGCCCCGCTGTCCCAAGGCCATCCTCTCCCCCAAGCCCTTCACCCCGCCCGGTCAGGGCGGCTCGAGGCCTGCTCAGCGACACCTGTCCCCGGGCGCCTGTGTACGTGGCTGCACACGCAAATAAACCTCTTTCGGTTTTCCTCATTTCTCGTCAAAATGTTGCCAGAAATCTAGTCAAGAACTCAGAAGGTCACGGGAACTTCTCTTTCGGTGCTACCACATGCTGGGGAGGGCTCCCCGCTGGCGTCTTCCCTCTGCCGGCCTTCAGTGATGGGGCCCCCCAAAGGGCCCCGAGAAACCAGCGCCACTGTCCTGCAGGAGCCGGGCCGGGGGCACACCCCAGTGGGGGCGGATCAGGCCAGTCCCGCCCCATCCTGAGTGGACGCGGCTCCCAGAGCCTGGGCAGCGCAGGAGACGCCTGCTCGGGACACAAAGCCCTCCTCGCTCCTGCGCGCTGACCGCTGACGGCTGACGGGCGGACAGGCTGGTGCGCCTGGAGCCTGCGGTGCACGCGAATGAAGCACAGGGCACTTCCAGCGGGGAGAGGTCTGCGCAGCTGAACCCCACTGACGGCGCCTCGGCCAGTCAGGTTCCTGCTCAGCTAACCCCAGGGCACGGGGCTCCCCAGCAGAGACAGCAGTGAGGCGGCAGGCGGTTCCAAGCAGCCCACTTCGCCATCTTCATGGGCAAGATGCTGCAGCGGCTGAACCGGGTTAGGGGTGTTCCAGGTTCCGCTCTTTCCCACCAGGGCTGAAGGGCAGAGGCTGCGGGCTGATGGCCACCGTTGCCTGGTGGCACTGTTGAGGATGCAGACGCCGTCTGCCCCCCTCCCCCGCACAGACCCTTGCTGTCGGGAGGGCCTGCAGCTCCCTCCCCGCGGCATAGCTGCCTGAGACCCCAGGCTGTATCTACGGTGGCCGCAGCTCGGTGCAAGCCCCAGGCCTGCCACGCGGCAGCCTCTCAACTTGAGCCTCACTTTCACGCAGGTGGGGTGGCATCACTGGAGAATCCAACCGGACCAGCGGCCACCGCCTCTGGTGGTGATGGTGGTGGTGGGGTGGCCCCAGCGCAAGCCCAGCGGGCAGTCAGCAGCTCACCCTCCTCCAGCCTGGGCCCGCGGCCAGGCTGCACTCAGGGTGTGGGACGCGGCCGAGCTCACCGAGCCTGTCCACCAGCCGGCCAGGGAGCTACTGAGATCTCAGGGGACAGGTGAGGGAGCTGAGGCTGCGGGGTGTGGGGCCGGCCTGGCAGCAGCGAGTGGGGGCCCCTGAGCACAGCTGCACGCAGGCTCCACCCCCCTCCAGGCTCACAGTGACCTGCGGGCATTGCGGGGTCCCAGAAGCAACCCACAAATGAGCGTGAGGCAAGAAACGATCAGATGCTGCGCGATGAAAGCCGGTGCCCGAGACGGCACAGCAGCACGCCCGGTACGGGCCCTGAGGCGCACGAGACACGCAGGAGGGCTCGGCTGGGGAGGCCCCGGAAGCCACTCCGGCGCCCTCCCAGGACCTTCTGGAGGAGCAGCACTTTCAGGTTTGTTTTCCTCTGGTGACTGACCGGCGCCTGGTGACGTCAAGGGCGTGCAGGGGCCTGGACGAGCCGGGCAGGCAGCGGAAGGGCCAGCTGCCTGGGCCTGGGGCGGCCTGGCCCCTCGCCTGGCTCTGGGAGGACGCCTGCCGTGCGGGCGCCCAGAGACGGGGCCCCTGAGCCCGATTCGCTCCTGAGCAGCCCCAGCCTGCCGCGGCGCTGCAAGACGAGAGCCACAGGCAGGCAGGCGTGTGCAGGCGCGAGGCCCCAGCCCAGCGCTGCGCTCGCAGCCGCGGAGGGGGAGGCCGATTCCGTCCCTGCCAGCTCCCGAGAGCCTCTGAAACTTCACTGTGTGCTGAGTAAGTTAAGCCCCACGCCCTGCAACTTTCCAGAGGCCAGCTGGACTCGGGCACAAAGGGGAAACCCTCTTCCACCCAGAGAGCTCTGCTGGCAACTTAGTGACTCATTTCTTTGTGAACTGAGACTGTTCTAAAAACGGTTAATTTTTCAAAAATACAACGTCATGAAAAAACGTATTTTCCTCTGGACTATCCCTTACACAGGAGTCCAGACATGCCGGTGTTCAACAGTCTGAGAGGAAAACACTCCCCAAGGGAAGCCGCCCGCACACGTGCCCGCGCCCCGCTGCGCCCCCAGGCCGGGGGGCAGCTCTGTGCAGGGCGCAGGCCCGAGCTACCCGTCTGGTGTCCAGGGTCAGCGTGAGCCAGAGCAGGACAGAGACAAGAGAAAGCACGCCCAGCGTGTTTCAACAGCTGCCGGGCCTGTTGTCCTCTGGTCCTGTCTACTGACGTGGTGGGAGCGCTGAGGCTTCAGACCCAGAGGGCGCTGTCCCCTCGCCAGCGGAGCGCCGGCCGCATCGCCTCTCTGGCCTGACTGCAAATCCCTGGCTCTCTCGCCAGACCGCTGTGACCCCCTGCAGGACATGAGTGCCTCCCTCCTTGAGAGCCGCGGGGTCTCTGCCTTGCTGCATGCTCGGGCCAGAGGGCCCCACCTCCCTGATCTAACAAGGGCGCCCTGGCCGGGCGCTCACCACCAGGCTGAGAGGCAAGAGCAGCCCTGAAACGACAGAGCACTACGTGGTGGTGCGTCTGGCTGCCGTCAGACTGCTCCGCTGCTGCTGGCGGGCAGCCCGTAAGCCTCCGTCCGGTGTACGTCTCTGCAAGCCGCTGACCCTGGCGGACAGCAAGGCCACGCTGCCTGACAGCCTCCTCACAACGAATGACAGAATAAAGAAGTGTCTGATAAATTACCAAAATAAAAGATAAAATGTTGCATTTAAAATAAAGGTGCAGAGGCCCTCCCTGGTGGCGCAGCGGGTTAAAGCACAGCACTGAGAATCTGAAGCCACTTCCGCATGAGTTCGATTCCCGCCTGCCGCCTGCCCCGGAGGAGACCACATGGCGAGCCAGACCTCTCCTGACCCGCCCGCTGCTCCCCTCAGCAGTGTACTTCGTCGATCTGCCTGTTCTGCTCCCCACTCTGTCTCTGGTGAAGCCTCTCACCGCCCCTGAGCCTCTGGCCTGTACCCCAGTTCTGTATGAATAAATAAATAAATCTTTAAAAAAAAAAAATAAAATAAAGGTGCAGAACAGTAAACTTAACAGATATCACTTGGCTAAAAATATTAAACTACAAAGGATAATGAGGACATGCAGAGAAAATTCTACAGAATGACCCACTTTAACAAGTTACCAAGGGGAGGGAAAGACAAAGGGAAGAGAAACGTGCTTTTTACTCCCCCACTAGCAGACGAATAAACAAGACCGAGGTGTCCGGCTGGCTATGTAAAGGCAACACGTCACTGGCGCAGACGAGGCGCCACTCAGCACTCCCTGGACGGGAGCCATGTCCATTTTATACTGGACTGTGGGCAAAGGGCACTTTCTGAAATTGCTGTCAAGGTCTAAAGTTTACCTGCAGGGGGCCCTCCCTGGTGGCGCAACGGGTTAAAGCGCAGCATTACGAAGCTAATCACAGCTGCCTCAGCTCGGGACCCCCAGGGCGCAGCAGACCTCTCCTGTCTCCCCACTGCTCCCCTCAGCCGTGAGCTTCAGTCGATCTGCCTGTCGTGCTCCCCACTGTCTCTGGCGGATCCTCTCACCGCCCCTACACCTCTGGCTTGCATCCCAGTTCTGTGTGCATAAATACATAAATCTTTAAAAAATAAAGGAGTAAATAAAATTTACCCCAGGCTGCAGAGTATTTAGTAGAAATACTATAGAGTTAAGCTGCGTTTGTAACCACTTTGGATCTGGGACAGCTGGTGGCCTGGGCAGCCCGTGGCTACGGAAGGCACCTGCAGAGCCAGCGGGGCCCGCCGGACGACCCCGCGTCAGGACGCTGCGCAAACACAGACGGCGCCTCCCGGCAAGGTCTGCCTGCACCCAGACACGAGCGTCCGCTTACCTCCATTCATCATTTTGTCCCTGGCAAGCGGGTGTGTTGTCACTTTGCTTCCAAAGCCTACTTCATGAGCCAACAGGGCCGTGGGACCTGAAAAAAAGATTAAAAACTTAAGGCAAACAGAAAAGCCGGTTTGAAATACTGCAGCAGCAGAGGTATTCTTCCAGAGCGGGGGCATCTCTGACGTACAGGGAGGAGCTGGAAGGAAGCGCTGCCAGTGCCAGAGGTGAAGTGTGTCCGTAACAGCCCCCCGCCGAGCACCCAGAACACGTGCCCGAGCTCAGCTGCTTCGCAGCCGCAAAGCTCTGCCTGACGCCCAGGAAGAGGCCGACCGCGGCCCCTGCAGGGCAGGCAGTGGGTGTGGTGGGGGGGGCACCACGGGGTATTAAATTTCTCTGCCTACCTGCAAAAGGAAAACCAGGTACAGACCATCCAAGGTGCGCCCCGCCCGCCCCGCCCTGAAGGAGACTGCGGAGAAGCAGAGGGAGACAGCTGCCCCGTCTGTCACAAACACCGGAGGGCTGCCGTGTCTATCCGCAAAGTCTTGGAGGGGTAAAACAAACCTGTTTTTTACCTTTGTTACCTTATGATCTTAAAACACTTTTTAGAGCCTCCGTGGGGGCCCCGGGGTTGAGTCTCAGCGCCATCACTGCCGCAGCAGAGTCCCATCCCCGCCAGGGAGTGACGCCCGGGGCGCAGACCTCTCCTGACCCGCCCGCTGCTCCCTCAGCAGTGGGGCCCACCTGTTCTGCTCCCCACTCTGTCTCTGGTGAATCCCCTCAGCCCCCCACCTCTGGCCTGTACCTCAGTTCTTCACAAAAATAAGTAAGTCTTTAGACACTTGTAAAGCAGTCCCTCCACCTTTTCTCCACAAGCCCCCGAAAAATACAAAGGCCTCACGTCACAGCCAAAAAGACGTGCGTCGCGACACTGCCGTGCCCAGATGTTGAGGGCCGTGACCTGACCCCCACGCAGCCCGCCACTGGGGCTTCAGCCCGACTGAGCACTGGGCTCCGTGGGCTTTCACGGGCAACACGGCTCAGCTTCACCAAGTGTCATGTCGGCAGGCACTTCGGCTACGACCAACGGGAAGGTCAAAGCTCCCGCCTCTCCAGGGTCAGCCTCACCGGGGCCCTCGCTGTCTCCTTAATCAAAAGCCTCCAACGGCCCGACGTCTCTCTCCGCCGGACTGTCACATCTCGAAAACTGAACAGCTATCACTTAATTTTTGGTAGAAGAGCTTAAGCAACTATCTTTAACTCCTATTTTGTGACATCACAAGAAATGCCAACCACAGCGCATGCTGCGGCAAACCTGAGACGAGGCGGTGCGGTGGCGAGAGCAGCAGTCTGCGGCCTGCGCCTTCAGCCCTGCGCAAGCCGACGCACGCGGGCAGGAGCTCTCGGCACCCGACTCACCGTGGGAGACAAAGATGCTTTCTGTGGCTCAAGGGCCTATCTGGGGGCTTGGGGGCGCCACTGAATCACCCCATTACTGAAATCCTGACGAGGAAATGCTGGCCCCGCTCTGAGCAGGGAGTAAGGGCGCCTGGGCAGGCTCCGGGCCGCCTGGGACAGAGCCTACAGTGCCACCGTGTGGCCACTGGCGGGGAGCACAGCAGGCCACGGCCCTCTCCAGGCCGGCTCCTTCGTCCCGGTCCAGAGCGCCCCACCACCAGAATGAATCCTACTTCATTTACCCCTCAAGACGGTCCCCCTTCACCTGTCTCTCATCCCCATGCCACACAGGAGCTGAGCCAGTGTCCTCTCAGCACTGCCAAGGCTCCCAGTTCCTGACTGCAGCGCCAGGGGTCATCCGTGTCTACTGCTGACCTAGAAATTCGGGCCTCTCGGGCCTCCGCCCACCTGTTCCCATGACTCATCTCACACCTGGGCCACCCACCTTGGTCAGGTCATGCTGCTCCCTGCAGAGCCCCAAAGTTGGGGCCGGGGCCAGCGCTGCTCGGGCCGATGGTGCTTGGCCAGTGCTGCCTGGATGATGAGAAGGCCTCAGCCCCTACCACGCTGGCCTGAGCATGGACAGAGGTGGCCAGCGGCCCGCAACCTCAGGGACACGTGGTGACAACAGGCCGGGTGTGGCTTTCAGAAGGGAATGCAGCCCGAGTCCTTGGACACCCCACAGGCCCACGGCCTCCCCCCCCAGAGAAGATACTACTCGGACCACAGAGCCCGGACAGAGAGAGCCCATCCCAGGGCCGGTGAAAGGGCCATCGCTGACCGGCACCCAAGGTCGGGCCTGCCCCTGTGGTGGCCTGGGTCCTCCCACCCGCAGACATCCCGGCCTCAGGCCCCCTTCAGTTTTCATGTGGGTCATGCGATCGTTAAACGGGGGACTGCGCAGAGCCCGAGGCCACAGTGCACGCCGGGTGCAGGGCCACTGCCGCCGCCGAGGGCGAGGAGAGAGACGCGCCGGCCGCAGCCCCGCCCTGCTCCCCACAAAGCCTCGAGACCAACGGCAGGGCGGCCTTTCCCCGCTGCTCGTCACTGTCCACGCCGCCGGGAAAGACGCCGGCTGGCAGGGCAGCAGCTGCCAGCAGAGCAGGAGCGGGTGGTGATGGCGTTGGGCATCGTGGGCCTGTTCTACACCGAGCGGAGCCACGGCCCCATGCCCGAGAGCCCCCACCGGGCTCAGCGGGCTCGCTGGGGCCTCGCCCAGGAGGTCACGGGCCGGGGCGGCTCGGCTGGCTGCTGAGGCCGTGGGCAGCAGCAAGCTGCTCGCTGAGTCCCCGAGCCGGTTCCCGCCCAGGTCAGCCCACACGGGCCGCGACACAGGCCCATGGGACGCAAAGGCCGGCGGGCAGCACACAGAAAGGCCCTGTCCTGCAACTTCACGCCGCCACGCTCAAGATGCCAGCTCAGGCGCCGTCCACGCCGTAAGGAGGGGAAAATCATCTGGAAGAAAACCGGGGTGCGAAGGAGCCCCCCCCCCCCCGCGCCTGGACACGCGGCATACCTGCACAGATGGCGGCGATGAGGCCCTTCCTGCTCTCCTGCTCCTTCAGGATCTCCTTCACCGCAGCTGCCTAGGCGAGGAAGCCAACATGCGTCAAGCTCTCCGCAGGCCACAGGCCGGCTGCAAGAAGGAACTGGCAGGGTGTGACCTCCGCGACGACCCCAGGCTCCGGCCCCTTTCCCAGGGTCTCTACATCTCTAACACGGACCTGGGGAACCCACACGACTCAACACTGGGCACCCAGCCGGGGCTCTCCCTATGAGCCAAGGGCCTTTCCCTGGAGCGGGCTCAAGATGAGGGGAGACGCAGTCTCCCCTGGAGCACTGACCCTCGCCGCCAAACCCAGGGAGAGAAGCGGAGGGGCGTGGACTGTGCACCCCAGCAGGTCAGGAACAGCCCAGAGGGCGACAGTCCAAAATGGGGGCGACAGGCTGCCCAGCAGGTGCCTGCGCCCTCGTCCTGCCCCGCCCCCACCTACCGTACATGAAAGCAGTGGTGGCTTCGGGAGCAACTTCCCACCCGCTGGCAGGAGCCTGTTCCCCGCGCCCACCCACAACTGCCGAGGAGACCACCTCTTACTTTTCTACGCAGACTATCCTGCTGCTCTCGACAGGGAAAGCTAGTCATCTAACAGTCAGACTCGACTGCCCACCTGCTCAGCAGTAACTGTCTCGGCACCTCAGCTTACACCGACAGTTAACGGAGAAGCTCTTAAGATGAGAGCAGCAAGAGCCCCCCCCCCAAAACATATTCATGACCCGGAAATTACTCTCCGGGGCCTCCATAGAGGCCGAGGAGTCTCAGCACCATTGCGACTCCCCGGCCAGGGAGCAATCCCAAGGGCGCAGCAGATCCCTCCCGCCTCCCCACCACTCCCCTCAACAGTGGATTTCAGCTGATCTACTTGTTCTGCTCCCCACTGTCTCTGGGGAGTCCTCCCACCCCCACACCTCTGGCCTACACCCCAGTTCTTGTGTGCAAAAAACCCCACAAAACCTATAAACAACAATGCTTTCTAGCCCGAGACACAACCGCTGACCACGCACGCTGGGCACCACCGGTCAGCGTCACTGCTCTCGCTCATTCACAGCCTCCTCCCCGGAGTCCTCAGAAACGAGACAAAGCCCGGCGGAAGTCCCTCCCCAAGTCTTTACCTCGCATAAATTCTGTGCGCCCAGGTTACCTCCTGGCAGAACCACCACATCGTAAGGCCCCTGGAAGTCAAAAAAAGTAACAGGAAAGTGAAGACGCTCCAGGTGAAACGTGCCTGCAGCGGCCGCCGGCACTGGACACACGCGGCTGGCCAAGCACTGCTGGTGGCGCCGGCCACGGGTCCTCTGTCCTGAGTAGCAGAAACTGCAGCCACGAGCCCGGTGACGTGCGCCGCGGGCACAGCCAAGCTCGCCCCGCAGGGAGGCCACGCGTGCCCTAGCGTGTAGGCGCACGTGTCCACTGCACGCACACGGGCGCCCAGCCGACGGGGGCAGCGCGGGCAGGGAGGTGGCCAGCAGCCTGACAAGTCCTGGCTTCTGACGCACCGAATGGAAACTTGGGTTCAAAACGCACAGCTGGCACAAACTCAGCATCGTAAACGGCTAAGCCCACACACACCCTAGCAGTTCAGAACCAAGCGAAACTGGGAAGTACCCCTTTAGATTCTGACCGAGTGGGCAGACACAAAACAGGTGACCCCTGTCCAGAGTGCCCTGGTGCCACAGGAGGAAGAACAGACAAGGGGTGCTCTCTCTCGACACAAACTACGCAACTTCTGTCGACTGACAAGTTCCGGGCGGATAGAGAACACTCTGAAAAATCGGAGCTTCCATTGCTAACTTATGTTGTGACCTCCCTTTTTTGTATAATCATAATATCAAAAATATTGTAGCAACCTCAGTTTGTAACTGGGTTGCCTTAGCTCTAAATTGGCTACCGGGCCTGGGCAAAGTACAAGCTGAGCTGCTCCAGGGCAGGAAATTCCTCTGTCTGAAGACAAAAGGCAAGCTCCTGGAGAGATAAGACCCCGGAGCATCAAGACTCCTGGAGAGCTTCCTTGGTCTTTTGAAACACAAAGCGCATCTTAGATAACTCCCAGGGCATAAGGACCCATGGACAATTTCCTAACATTATCAACACAGATCTTGCTTAATGCATTAACTATGTGACTTCCTCTTAATTTACCTTTTCCTAAAACACACTCTTGCTACTCTCTGCTAGCCTTAAGTTAGCCATTAGCTTTTCTTTAGACTGTCACTGAAGACTCTGCTAACACAATTTATTCCTTCCCTAGGACTCCTAAATCCCTTGCTAACAGCTCATCCTTTCCCAGACCCTGATCCTTTAAAGTCACAGTTAAACATCCGTTTACATGAAAGCTATCACAAAGATGTACAGTCTAGTGTGCCATAAAGTAGCAGGAAGAGGATGCATGTTCCCCTCTTCGTTTAGAACTTTTATGCTGATTTATTATTAACTTACCTGATGCATTATTGTAACTAAATCTTGCTACACAATATAAATAAAGGTCTGCAAAAAGATGAGCAGGAAGTCTTGCACCCAACTCCGACTCCCGTGTCTTCCTCGCGCCGCTCCCCTTTTTCCCTTTAGGACTCTCCGCTTGCCAATGCCACTCCCACCTTTGGACCCTGCCTGTTTTGCCCCCCAATAATCCGTGATCGGAGGCTGGTCCTCGACACTCTCTCCTCTCACTTCTGATTCTCTCAGGAAGTTTCCACAACTTACATGTGCATGCAGTGATGCTCTACACTCTGTCCTCACAATATGTCCATTTACTAGCAGGAATTAACTTCTCAGGCCAGGGACACTCCCAGCTGGCTCTGTCTGCCTCCCGGCCCGCCCAGCTCCACTCCCAGAGGCTCAAGCCCAGCTCCGCCCCGCTGGCCTGCTGAGCCCCGACCTTGTGAGAGGTATGCGAGTGTCTGGGTGCAGATGCGGGGTGCGGGGGGCAGGTGCTTCTGCAGCTCGTGACAGCCCCGAGGGCCGGGCACCCTCAAAGGTAGGAGCCAAAGTTCTAAAGCATCTGAAATAGTGACTGACTCCTTGAGAGCTGTCACTCCTCTCCAGTCCAACCACCCGTGGTGCAGCAGGGCTTCCGCTGACCACAAGAGGCTCCGAGCCACCCATGGAGACGAAACCTCTGCTCCCAGGGTCACGTGAGCGGGAAGAGATCAGAGTGCAGGCACCTGCTTAGAGAAAGTCTGTGCTAACACGTCTTAGATGTGGACAGCAGATGGTCGGCGGAATCCACTCAAGAAACCACAGGAAGGAACAATTCCAAGTTTGGACTACGAACCTGCTTTCTGGCATCTTCCAGACTGGTGTCAGGACAAATGACCACATCACGGCTACACTGCACCGGGTCCTTTCCCGCCAGCCCTGCGATGGTGACCTTAATCTAGGAGGAAGACGTCATAGGATATTTCATACACCGACACACAAATTTAAAAGAACATTTTCATAGCTGTCCTGTGTTTTAAAATAACTCGACAGGAAATACTGCAAAACCATACTGACTTGAAGAACCCAGCTAAATATATCTAACAGCTCGGTCTGTCCCGGCCTCTATCTGGCTACTGTCCACTCCACCAGCGCTGAGGTCTGGTAGGTTATATGATCACCTTATTAATAAACTATCTTGTAAAGTTACTGTTGCCATTTAAACTCAGTGGCTTTTTTTTTTTTTGCATAGAAGAACTGGGGTACAGGCCAGAGGGGGTGAGAGGATTCTCAAGAGACAAAGTGGGGAACAGAAAAAGTAGATCCATTGAAATCCACTGCTGAGGGGGTAGCGGGGAGACGGGAGAGGTCTGCTGCACCATGTTTTCTTAACTTAAAACTGAAATACTACTTGACCTTGCCAAAATTTATAAAGTGAACATACCAACAGTTAGCACAGGTAAACATATTCTTTTCATACCCTGCTGGCGTGATAACCACTGGAACTCTGGAGAGCTATCTGATGGCATCTGGCAGTGCCAACCACGGGCTGTTTTTGGCTGGCAATTCCACTTTTAGATAGAGACCCTGGAAAACCCCCCACAGACTGGCACAAGGCAATGCCCACGAACGTTGCAGTACTGCAGTCTGGGGAACCACACCCAGAAGAGGGGACAGCAGTGTATTCCCACGGTGTGATCCGAGCTGGTGATTTTAAGGTCACAGCCCCGATGCTCACTGGGGGCCGGGGGGTTCAGGCAGGGTCAACAGGCGGGGGCCAGATGCCCAGGTCAGAGTGCCCTTCCACTCACTAATTCTACAGTGTGGGCACATTTTTGGTGTCTGAACAAAATGAGGGTGCCAGTGGCTAACTCACAGGGTTGGTGGAAGTTTTAAAGTTTGTATCAATGCTTAGAATACCACATTTAAACAGCTAAGTGCTGTTCAATGTTCAAAAGTGCACTATACATGTTACAGGCCGTGTCGATAAGATCTGTAACAAGGCCTCCCTGGTGGCCTGAGTCCATCCCCGGCCAGGGAGTGACCCACAGGCCGCAGCAGACTCTCCTGTCTCCCTGCTGCTCCCCTCCGCAGTGAGTTTTGGTAGATCTTTGGTAGACAGCTTTCCACTCTGTCTCTGGGGAATCCAGAACCTCACCCCCAGTTCTGGCCTGTACCCCAGTTCTTGTGTGCATAAATTAATTAAAAATATAAAGATCTGTAACACATACATGCAAAATGAGTTGTAGCCTGACGCTGCCCACAAGAACCCCTTGCACAGACACACATGAGGAGAGCCCTTATCTCTGGGCAGGCAGCAAGGGGAACAGTGTGGGGAAGACCTACAAAAAAGGGCCTGATAATGTCTTACTTCTTAAAAGCATCTGTGCAGGCCCTCCCTGGGGTCACGGGGGCTAAAGTCTCAGCACTACAAGCTGTCTCCCACCACTCCAGCACGAGTTTGATGCCCAGCCAGGGAGTGAGCCACAGGCTGCAGCAGACTCTCCTGTCTCTCCGCTGCCCCCTCGCCAGTGGATGTCAGTGGATCTGCCTGTTCTGCTGCCCACTGTCTCTGGGGAGTCCTTTCACCCCCACCCCTGCACCTCTGCCCTACACCCCAGCTCTTGTACGATTACATACATAAAAATAAATCCTTAAAATAAATAAATAAAACGGCTCTAGAAGAAACACAGCAAAACGACAGAGGATTGAATATGGGCAGGAATGGGGTGATTGTCACTTTAGGGTCTCTTGGGCAGTACTTTAGGCAGCTTGCAATTTTTCACAAAGGTTACTGAGCATTATGCAAATTGACTTTTAAAGCTCCAAGAAAATGTTGGGGGGGGCTGGAGGCGGTGGGGACTCACTCCAGCCCGTCTCATGACATCTACGGGGATGACGGTCTCCATCTCCTCGGCGCCTTTCGCTAGGATGACCAAAGCTCTTTTTGACGCCATTATGTTGTATTGTTTAAAGACTAAAAAAGAAAAAGACACAGAGGTTCACAAGGCTTCCACAGCACCCCTGGAGAGTCAGTGCTTAGCAACAGCTTCAGGCGGAGTGGCGAGGGCGCCCTGGGGATCGGCTCAGACACCCCAAGGCGAAGGCAGCACTGAGCTGGCTCTGGTGTGGCGGCGTGGGGCGGCGACTGGGGGTGCAGCCCTGTCTGCGTCTCCCCGGGCGCGTCCCCTGAACCCGGTTTCCCGTAAGGTGGCCAAGGCGGTTTCCAGTCACTGAACACACACACACACACACACACACGTGGGGAGCACGCCGCCAGCTGGCCCGAAATGCCTGCCCTTTAGGGGGGAAGCACTGAGCCCCAGCTCTGCAGCAACGAGCCCGAGACTTTTGGTGGGTTTTTTTCAAGTTCCAATAACTATGCTCACAATTCGGGGACTCAACAGTGTGACGCCCCACAGCTCTTTAACGCGAAGACGGGCGGGAATTCCCGCTGCCAGCCCGCCCGGCGGCGCGCCCCGACCCCTCGGGCCAGGCGCGGGGCTTTGCTCCTGGGCCAGGGCAGTGTGACGGGCGGCACCCAGGCCCTCCCGGGGGGGAAGCCAGAGCGGCTGGTGGACACGCTGCTTGCGGACCTTAGGCCCCGGGTGGCCGAGGAATGAGCCGCCGGACGCAAGAACCCAGACAAGCCAGCGCCGTGGCTGCATGGGGCGAAGCCCCAGACACTTGCTTCTCGGGGAGGAGCCCTGTGCCCTGGGGCGGTGAGAGTGCATGTCCGGAGGCCGAAGCAGGGGTCAGTGCAACAGCCTCGAGCACGTGGCGTGGGCTGCAGTGGTGGGGTGCAGGCCAGGGAGGCAGCTCACTGAGGCGTCAAGAAAGCAGGCCTGGAGCCCAGAGAAAGGGTGACAGGCGATGTCTTCCGCAGTCAGTGCCACCTGCCGGGGTCACGTGCAGAGCAGGGAACACGCCCCTCCCCGACTGTGGGTTTGGCTGAAGAAGTTTTCAGCAAATGGCTGAAGATGCCCACCTCTTTAGGGGTCTGCGAGAGGTGGTGGCGGGTGAGCTCAGCAACCGCTCCATCGTCATGCAGAATCCGAAGGGACTCACCGGCCCAGTGCAGGCTCCAGCCAAAGAGCCTGAAAGTGATAAGGCCGGAGAAACGGCGAACCCGCTGCCCGTGGGCCTGGCGCGGGAACGGGGCTCGTCAGGAGGCCACTGCCCGGCTGCGGGCAGGCCCGAGGGTGCCGCCCGCACGGGCTCACTGGTGGGGGCACCTAGCGCGGATCAAAGGCCCGGCACTCGGAGTGCCTGCGCCGGGGTGGGGCCCAGACGTGCCTCCTAGAGTGGGCTAAAGCTAAAGACCTGCACGTCCTGACCAAACGCCCACAGTGGAAGAGGGGCAGCTGGGGGAGCCCGGGGGCTGTCAGCGCTCAGGGCCGGCTCTCAAGGGACCTGCGCCCGGGAGCCGAGCCTGGAC